CCGATCTACCGCTCTCCATCTGCCTCCTTTCAGCACCACTAAATTAATTTTAAGCAATTTTAACCTCATCCTTCTCGCGGGGCTCCTCGTGCGAGCCCAGAGCTCGTGAATCACGCCGGGGGTGAGCAGCAGCTCACCACGGAGGGGCTGATGAATTTATCAAGGTGCTGCCCGTGGTGGCCACCACCTGGGGCTCCGGTGGCCCCCCCGGCACCCACTTTCCCCCCTCTTGCCCCCACCCTGAGGGTCAGGGTGACTGGGGGTGTCAGCTCCCAGCAGCTATTTATTGTCACCGGCGCTGGCAGTCGGTGAAGGTGATGGATGGCCTGGGCTCAGCTGCTCTGGGCGAGGAGGAAGCCCTGAGCCCCCCCCTCCCATGGCACAGGGGGACCCCAGTGTGCCCACCCCTGCCCTCCTGTCCCCGTGGTGGCTGCTGGCACCGCGATGCCCCGAGGTGGCTCTGCTGATGCTGCTCCCTTGGATTCGGTCCCCATAAATCCAAAGGGGATGCTGTTGGGATGCTCCCAACGTGCCCAGCTCCAGCTGCCAGGGAGGGCACAGCGGGGACAGGGGACATGGAGGCTTTGCCTTCGGAGCCACCGGTCCCCTGGCACCCGAGCTGCCCCTTGGAGGGTGGCACCAGCGAAGGAGACACGAGAGCCCGGCTCAGCTCTCAAAAGCGGCCGAAGCTTTTATTTCATCTATGTCCAGCTCTGGGCTGCAGGAAGCCTGGGGAGGGGGTGCTCGGCCGGGGAGGGGGGGACACAGGGGACGGTGCCCACCCAGCACCTCCCACCATCGGCCGCTTCCCCACCAAGCCAAGCACTAAAGGGCTGCCCTGGGCTCGCAGCCTGTGGCACTGGGCTCGCCCAGCAGTGGCCCCGCGGGGTGGCCAGCGGTGAGCGGGTACATGCGGGTGCTGGGGGGGCTGTGGCTGCCCCCCCTGGACCCCCCCGGCTGCCCCTGTTGCATGAAAGCCAAGCCCAGTGCCCCCCAGTCCTTGCCTGTTATTTTGGGGCAGATTATCCCCCCGGGCAGAGACCTGCTCATCCCATTATATGGTTGCCCACAGCATTGCCTTGGTGGGGGGGGGTG